GAGCAAATAGTTAAATCGCAGCCCTATCCGGCTGCCTCCAAAACTCCCCGTTCTGTTCACGCTTTTCCTTGCTCCCTGCGAAAAGCACTTCTCAGGGCAAGGCTTGGGAACAGCAATCACACCACGAGGTCACGTAAGGACCCAGGGAACTGACTGGTGGCTGCTCAGCTTCACTTTCTTCTCCCCGGTGCCACTGGATACAGCAGGGGGGAATCAGGGGGAGCCACTAAAACGGAGAGATGGTGATTTGAGTGAGCTCCCGCCACCCAGGGCTTTTCCTGCTGGTTCTGGAGAAGGTGCTGGTCTGACTGGGAACAGTAACGTAAGGGCTATGACTTGGCGTTTGCTTGCGTCTCCAAACTGCATTGAAATCCCGCAGAGTGTATTTGATGCTGAATAGATTTTAGCTTAATAGAACCACATCCTTCTCGGTGCAGGTGGCCATTTTGCTTCCTTTACAGCAAGTGGGTCCGGCATTGTTTATAGCTATAATAATTGTTGCCACTGTTTTCTCTACCTGCTCCCGGGTAATCTCGTAACTTCACATGTCATTTGAGGCGAGAGATTTGATTTGTGTCCCAGTTCATGTGAACAAGTTAATAGCTAAGCTTCTAGGAAAAGCACATTGAAAGGCACTCTGCATCTGGCCTGCTATGCCAATCTGTAGTGGCACTGTGCTTTATCAGCTGGAGTGCTAAAGTCTTCGGGATAGGTGAGATTAATCTTAATTTTAGATATTCAATACTTTGAAGCTGAAGCCTGACCTGCTCACCCCGGGCTCCTTGTGCAGTCAATGCTGAAAATAGGGATCTCCAGAAGGTGATTCATCTCCCTGCCGTCTATCTCGGGGGCGAGATGAATTGCCCTCTGGAAGCGCCTGCTTCCTCTCTGTGGCTGTAAAGGGAGCCTAGAGCAATTGGCTCGGAATTAGACACCTAAAAGTTAGACATCTAAGCCCAGGCAGCTGAATCCCCTGCCTGGTGTCTGCCTGGCACTGTTCCTCCATCGCCGTTCAGCTGTTCTGAATTTCCCTCCCAAATGCACGCGGCAAAAAAACTGATTCCCTGTGGGAATTCCCCAACACCTGTTAAAGATTGAAATCACCTTCTAACTCCCTGTCCCTTCTGTGCAGCTGAGATCAAACCGTGGGGTGAATTCAGCGTGCAGTTGGGGGGGAAGGGGGGGTAAGGGCAGCCTCTTGGTTGCAGCTCGGGTTTTGGCACTGGGTGAGAAGCCACGGGAGGCTGTCACTCCCCGTCGGTGACACCTGCGTGTTGCTGCATGCGTTGCCTTGTGAAGATGAGGGAACACCCCAATCTTGATTTTACTTTTCTTTACTTTTATCCTCAAGTGCTGGACTGGCTTGGCGGCTTCCAGTGGGAATCGTGTCGGTTCTGATAGAACCGCTAGTCTTTGGTTTTCAGAGCAAACGCTGCGTTCCAGGCAGGGGGAAGAGCAGCGGGTGGGGGGGAAGCCGTCCGGAACTGTTCTGCTGCTCCCATCCCCAGAGAAACCTCCCCAGGCAAACTCGCACCAGATCTGATGCCAGTGCTATGCAAAACAGCTGCCAGGTGAACCAAGGAGAGCAGCATGGTCCCTGTCTGCCGCGCTGCGGGAGCCAGCTGAGCTTATCGCTGCCTTTTTCCCCCTGCCCAGAACGCCCATAAAGAGGGGAAGGAAGACTTTTTTTCATGGGGAAGCTCCCAGGAGCCACAGTGCAAGGGGCTCAAAGCGATCTTTCTCTATTTCAATCCCAGGGCTTCCCCAGTTTGATGCAATTTAAGGAGGGGAGGACTGCGTCTAGCAGACGCTGGAGACTTTGGATCCCATTGTGTCTGGCTGGTGTAGCAAGAGGCAAGTTGTTGGCTGGTGTGAAGCTCCATTAAAATTAGTAGAGTTCTGGCAGTTTACAGCAGCGGAGAATCTGCTGCCACTTACACTTTTCTTTCTTTTTATCTCCTGGAGCTAGAAAAGATTAAATCTTAAGTGCAGATCCTTGTTGTTTGAACAGCCCGTTCCTTTAAGGAGAGAAATGACTCCTTCAGTGTGAGTCCTGATGTTGATAGAAACTTGGAGGAAACTGAGTCTGTTTTTAAAATATTTGTAGGAAAGTTACTGATTTAACTGAAGGAGGAGAGTTGTTATCCCTCTCACATTCAAACCCTGGCTTGCAGCTGGAATCATTTTAATTTTACTCGAACACAAGCTTTTACTCAAATAGAAAAATATGAGATCTGTTTGCAAATAAATCTGTGCACCAACACTCACTTGTCCTGCCGAATCGTTGGTGGGATTTGTGTATCCAGCTCCCATTTACATAACCACTGGGAGTAGAAATCACCTTGCCCAGTTTTAAATATCTCACTACTGGACATCTAAGTCTGAACTAGTTGCCCCTGGGTCCCTTTGTAGTCAATAAAGACAAATAGTCATCTCCAGAGGGCCATTCATCTCAGCACAAGATAGGCGTCTAAGATAGGTCAGATGAACGGCCTCTGGAGGTGCCTATTTCTCCTCGCTGTCTACCAAGACAGCCTGGGGCAGTTATCTCAGACTTAGACGCCCAAGCTACGACTGAGTTAATGTCAGTCCCCGTGCATATTTGCAGTATACTCCACTGTCACACAACACCTGGCTGAGGTGCTCCCCAGCACTCCTGTTGATCCGCAGCCGGACCTGCAAGAGAACAGAGGGTAAGAACTGGAGGCAGCTGTGTCTGGCCTTGAAGGAGAGGAAGGAGGAAAAGAAAGGTGGAAGTCCGTCAGCTGCACGTGCTTGTGAAGGGAGTAAAAACTAAGTAATGGTAAGCGTGGAAGAGGAGGAAAGAATGTGCTGGGGAACTTGGACCTGGTGGTAGCGATATGGAGGGAAACTCCATTCCAGCTGTGCATCTCAAATTCCAAGTTTCGGGGTGTATGATCGTGACTCAGAGCCATCATCACGGGGACCCAGGGATTTCCCTCAAGGTCTTCGAACCGGGCCTCATCAACGAGCTGCATTTGAACGCGAGCAAAACTCTTACATCCAGGAAACCATAAAATTGCCTTTTCCTTCCTGTTCTATTTTAGCAACTGGGAACTTTATTTCCTCCTCCTCTCCTCCTTGCCTTTCTTCCCTTTAGCTACAGCCTTTAGATTGCATCAACCCCCCATGGGTTTCAAAGGTAGAAACTGCAGGCCTTGAAGATCCTCACACAGTCCCGCTCAGGTGTGTGGATACTGATTGCGATCATCTATTAACACTATCAGCATTCCCATCGTTTATATGTGCAGTTGTTGGCTCTTGGGGCGTAGAGCTGGAACGCAATGAATGAACAAATTCCTCAGGCGGGAGCAGCTGGAGAGAGGTGGTCAGGGAGCAGATGGTTACAGAGAGTGGCACGGGAGCACAGAAACACGTGGCAAGTTGGAGGGTTGTAGTAGAGTAGGGAATTACATGGAAGAAGATAAAGACCTGAGATTGGGAAGAGAAAAAGCTTTGAGAAGCAAGACAGGAGGAAGCCAAGGGCAGGCTCTAGCAGAGCAGAAATGCAGACAGGCTGGGGGAGAAGGTGCAGAGCTGGATCTAGGTTGAGTTGCGGATGGTGAGAAGACAGAGGAGATTTGAGACCAGGGGAGGGCAACAGCTTGTTCTGCTGTGCAGCAGTGCTCTGGTACCGTTTGACAGCAAAGACCTGCTCAGCCTCACAAGAGCAACAGAGGCAGCTCAGTTTCCACCGTCAACGCCGTTAACGTGTTGCAGATCAAATCTCCAGAGCTGTTTCTAGATAGCAGAGGGTGCCATGAAATTGTTATCATTGACTCTGAAATCTTTTGCCATCTATGAATAATTGTACCAAGCCCGTTCCCCCTGAGGATCTCAGAGACCCGTGCTGATTCACCTGGGAATATGGTTTGTAGGGTGCAAGCTGAAAAGCTGAGTGCTAGAGGAGGGGAGAGGCTTGTTCAGCTGAAGAAAGCGAGTCAATGGGAGAGCTGGGTTTGCACTCCTGCCTGCACAGCCTCTCTTAACTGCTTTCCAACTTTTTGCAAGAGAGACGTGAACTACTGAAAAACATGATGTGTTGAAGCTTGATCAGATCACAGGGCACGGGCTATGCTTTATGGGGAACGTTATACTGGAAAAAAAAAAAAGAGGAGCAGGAGGCCCTCAGGGCTTGTGCCAGTGGGATGTGAACAATTTAAGACTGTTTATCACAAACTCAGTTGGACTGGAAGAGAACAACTCAGGGAATGGATTGCAAAGGGAAGGGAAGGGGTATCTTGGGGTTGCCTTTGCACTAAAGAGCTTCGTGGAATCCCTTAAAGCATTCAGATCTGTGGAGCATACAACCTTTCCTCTGTGATGTTCTTGATGAATTTGGCAGGTGTGATGGGGGGGGGGGAATGTTTATCATCAAAGAGGAATGAGTGAGGGCCTGTGCGGTACCTTCAGGCTGAAACCTGTCTGATTTTTTTCCCCCTGTGCCTGCCAATCTCTTTTGGAATCAAGGAGACGCCTCTTGAGCACAACCCCACGGCACCCTCTGTTCCTTTAGATATCCCGTAATTACTCAGTGCCACACGGGTTCCTGAAGATCCCTGGTTAACAGGCTCGGCCACCTGTTTGCTAGCCTCTCCCACAGTTAGTCCTTGTTTTCTGTACCGTGCCTCGGTCCTGGATTTCTCTGGAGAATTGCAATGTCCTCCAGCTCACCTCTGCTGGAATCTCCCTTGCAGTCTGTGAGCTTTCCCCCACCCTTGCTGCTCAGGTATCTCCCGGGCAGAAGCACTTCTGTTACTCTTCGGCAAGGGCCGATACCAAGAAACGTAGCAAAAGCTGCCTTCGTACTTCCATTGCTGCATTCGCACCGACTCCACCTTCCTCCTCCTCTCCTCTCTCTTACAGTGAGCTGGGCTTGCAGAGTGTCTTCGGTTACGTGTGCTCTAAGTTCTGGAAAGTTTACCTCAGTGCTGACTGTCATTAATACTGAGATATTTTTTCTGTTTGTCTCGTTGTAGGGAATGAACAGAATGGGCTGGACTTTAACAGGCAGGTAAGACACTCCCTGGGTTACCAGGTATTCTCCTGCTTTCTTGACTTACTGTTTTTTAATTGCTCATCTTGCTGAGTCCCAGGCAGCTATACTGACTGCTAAGAGATAAAAACTGTTAGGTCAGAAGCTACCATTAAACAGACCACATAAGTTATTCCCAATTCCCCTTGTGGGATAGAATGACAGATTAAACTTCTGGTTTCCAGGCCTTCCTATTTCATAGAAGTTCAGTTTAATTACAGAGTTTCTTTAAATCACCATTTGCTTGAGGCTTTTTAATTTTTTTTTTCCCATTGTCATTTAGAAACAAAAGGGATCTCAGTTACACTGGCAGATGTGCAAATCCCGCCCCAAAGCCCCATGCATTTCTCCTGCTTGTGACACTGGTGCTGGAAGCACTGTGGTATGCAAGTCTAAGAGCACGGGGCTGACTCACAGGAGCATCACCGAGGACTGGAGATGAAGTGGTTTGAGGTCTTGGAGTTCATAGGTCTAGAGCAGACCTGCCTACAAGAGCAGATTCCTCTTTGCAAGACAGTGGGGAAAGGGACAGCAGATAAAAGCAAGTGCTTTTTGCAGGGCAAGCAAGCCCTGATTGCAAATGAACGCGTGAGGGACCGTTGTCTCTGCTGTGTTTGCTGGTAGCCTTCTGCTTCATAGAGCTAAAAGCAACCCCTGTCTCACTGAGGGCCTGGAGATTTTCATATGTGGCTCTGAGAAATCCCGAAATGTCACATCAGGATTGCAGTGGGAGGAAGGCGGCAGCCCCCCGGGGAGTATAGGTCTCGAATCTGTGCAGACACGTGGGAAAATGCTCAGAGTCCAGAGCTAAGGACTCCTGCGGCCGTCAGCGGAGCTGGACTCAGACCTTGTAAAGACGAAGAGGAGGTCTAGAGAGCTGACCCACGGCTGCACAGCAGGGCTCTGGGGGCTGGCCGGGGGAAAGCGACAGGGGCTGTAACTCCACGGGCAGTCGGTAGCGTCTGGAGCAGATGTTGGCACTCAACAGCACGGCAACCGCCCTGCTCCCAGCCGTGCGTTCCCCACCCGCGAAGGTCGCAATCCTTAGCAGAGGCTCCCTGCTAGCAGCAGGTGGGAAGCTGCAGCTTCTCGCTGTGACTTTTCTGTCCTTCAGGCTTGCCTTGGTGGCTCTTGTCTGACAGATGTCAGCGAGCTGCTGTTTGTTTGTTTGGTTTGGCTGCTCTGGTTTTGGGTGGGTCGTAACTTCCTATCAAAGGTGTCTTAACACGTTCAGCCATCTTCCAGGTTTTTGGAATACCCAGCTGAAAACAAAAAGTCTTGTGTCTCCAGCTCTGTGGATTGCAGAGCCCAAAGCACAGGCTTTCTGCACGCCAAGAGAAGAATCCAACTTGCTTATAACTAGTGATAAAAGGAAATTCCCTCAAGATAGAAATAAGCTATGAAGCTACAAGATCATTACACGTTGCAAACTTTTCCTATGGCAACACCACAAAGATGTTAGAACTGGAAGCTGGGCTGAGGTTAATCAAGGAAACATTATTGACTGTGGTGAGGGCGGTGCCGATTTACACCCACCGATGATTTGACCCATTATCTTTAAGGTCCTAGTCCTCTGCACGTCCCTGAACGAGTGGCTGCTGGTGAAGTTGAGGGGGCAGACAGCTCCACCATCAGTAGGATTTTGGGCCAGAGTCTGCTTGGTAGAAACGTCCTCCTCCCCAAAAAGAGACAGTGGTTTTAGGACAGCTCTTGTAGCATTCACTTCCCACTTGTGTTTTCCTCCTTCTGTCAGAGGGGTACCACGAAACCCCTTTCATTTGTGCCAGCATGTCTGAGTAACTGGGTAGCAAACCTGACTGGCGACTTATTAAGGTTTAAAAAGCACAGAACCTGTGAACAGCCTCATATTAATGTGTTGGGTTTTTTGTTTGGGTTTTTTTTTTTTTTTCAATCTGGTCCGATTCTCCAGAACACATGCGGTGCCCACAGAAGGGGTTTTGCAATGATGTCAGGGATGGGGCTGGAACGGTCCGTGTGAGTGGACAGAGGCGTTGGAAATGGCTCTTTGTCTCCCTCTCTTGGCCCTCGCAAGGCCACGTGTAGACTTGAGCCATTATTGTTATTATTAGTTTTAAATGAGCAGGAGCCCAAATGCACGCGGGTTATACACTCCCGTTTCAGGCTGACCTCAGCTATTGGTGAATTCATCTTCGATTCAGCAAATAGATTGCAAATGGAGAGAAAAAGGAAGAAGGGAGATATGGAAATATCAAAACGTTTTCATGTAAAATCAGGTGCTGAGCTCTTTCATTAGGGGTGGAGGTTGGTGGGTTTTTTAATTTTGGTTTGGGGTTTGAGGTTGGTTTTGGGTGGCTTTCTTTTTTTTTTTTTTTTTTTTTTGTTACCTTGCAATTCAAGTTTTCAAACCGAAGCCAGAGAAGTATGGTTTGAAACCCAACTGCAAACCGAATGCAAGAGCTGCTGAGCTCTCTTTGACTTTATTTGGAGTGCTGGGCGCTAATCACTTTGAAGATCATAAATCTCACATCATTTAAGCCTCTCCCCCAGTCTTTGTAGATGGCCTACATTTCAGGTCTGTTTCCCTCCCATGTTATGCTCCAGGCGGGAAGAGAAGGGTGGAGTGACCTGGTTAGACCCCTTACCTGCCTACCAATTCCCTGCTGTGGCTTCTCTCACCCTGCAAACGGGGAGGAGGGAAACTCTTGCGGAGTTTGAGGTTTTCTCGCAGTTTGTGGGTCAGCCCTGAGCTTTATGAGAAAGCTGCCTTCTGATCCCTCAACCTATTTGGCAAACATTTCTTTCCCCCCCCCCCCCCCCCCAGGATAT